ACCAAGAAAGAAAAGCTTGTAGTTAGTTCAAGGATCGCTGGCCTTTAAGAGTGTTTTCCAGTCCAGTCTGTTGGGGCACCACGCCTGGGCCAGAGTTTTCTAATCCATTTGTCTATTTATGGAAATTGCGGTTGTTTCCAATTTTTTGTGTGATTAAAATTGTGTCACAATAAACATTGGGACCCAGGTGGCTGGTCCTGGTCTATTTTTTAACCTATTCTGGGTATATGCCGGGTGACAGGGTAGCTCAATTTCCATTTGTTTTAATTATTTTCACATCACTTTCCAGAGAGGCCGTGGTTATCTACATGACCACCAGCAGTGGTCCTATCTCACCACATCCCCTCCAACATTTGTTGCTCTCTGATTTTCTGACTTGGGCTATCCTCAAGAGTGTTAGGTGGTATCTCTTGGTTGTTTTAATTTGAATTTCTCTGATGGCTAATATCAGGGGCATTTTCTCATGTTTATTGGCCATTCAGGTCTCCTCCCTAGTGAAACTGCTGTTCAGGTTTTTGCCCACTTCCTCAGGGGGTTGACTGTTTTCTTCTGTTTGCAGGCTAGGAGGGTATTGTAGATTTTAGTAATAAACCCTTTGTTGTGTCATTGCTAAAAACCCTTTCCCAGTCTGCGTGTTCTCCTTACTTTTAGTGAAGGCTTTTGACACACACAGGTGTTTTATCCTTAGTATACCCCACTTGATTTCAGATTCACCTGTGTGTGTACCCTTCCCTATTGCAGTTAACCTATGTGTTCCGAGACAAAGTTCTTAGGTTTGTTGCAATTCCTTCATTGATAGTCCTGATCATTTGGGGTTTTACTTCTCGGCCTGTGATCCACCTCAAGTTTGTTCTTGTGCATGGGGTGAGTTAAGGATCTTGTATCATTTCACTACAATTTGATATCCATTGTCTCCAACACCACTTGTTAAAGAGGGCACCCACCTCCCACTTGATGCTTTCTGGGCCGTCTATATGCTGATGGTTTTATATCTGGGTTTTCTGTTCTTTTCCACTG